ACTCCTAAGGCATGGCTCATAATTCAAAAATGGAATGTCATTTATTATTTATAGGCGAACAACTGTCGCTCGTGGGAGAAAGTATGTGAAAGATAGGACCAGCAGACAAAAAGAACTCAGTTTCGGAGCTGGAATCGAGTGAGGCTGGTGGACGAAGTGATGAGTATCCAGCGGCCTACTGCCGCAAATCACCTCACGAAGGTTGGCCCCGAGTAGAAAAAGCTAGGTAGCCAAGGAATTAAACATGTCCGTAATCCGCAAAGTTTCATTTGTGCCATAGGTGGCTGGGATTACCTTAAATCTTTGCGTTGATCGGTATTCTTGCCGATGTCACTAGAAATCCACCTTTTAGCAATCCTCTTCCAAGAGTGCAGTTTCTGCAAACATACCGTGATTGCATTATGCTGCATCGTAGTCCTAACAAATCGTGCTAAGAACCAGAGTGCTTGTAATTTTTAATATTATCACAGACATATGACATGACGATTTTGGTATATTATTGACCCCATTTTCAAAAAGGATCCTATCCTGTTTTTTAAATGTTCCTTCCTTTCTTCTAGCCAAGCAATATCCCTCGGAGACAGTGGGAATGCTAGACATGGGTGGAGCTAGCATGCAGATTGCGTATGAGGTTCCTGCCGAGGTAGTTGTCTCAGATGACCTGATAATGAACTTTACTGTTGGCCAGAGGAACACCACGAGCCGGCGAACCTATCGAGTCTACGTAATGACCTTCTTGAGCTACGGCACACATGCTACTAGTAGCCGGTAAGATAGTGACCGATCTTTTCAAGGCTCAGCTATAAAGTATTAATTAATTTTTTTACAAAAGCCCATTCTTGTTTGTCAGCCTTGATTCCGGTAGGTTTGGTCTTCTGCAAAGTAAAAGCGTACTAGGGAGGAGAGCATGAAGGCAATTATTTCACGGCTATTATAGTATGCCCTAGCGCTTTTTCCACCACAAGGATTTTGATCCTGAAATGTCTAGACTTCAGATTACCAACACTGTAACTAGTGACCCAAATCCTGGTGCTTGCATAGTCAAACAGTTTAGGCAGATAGCATTGCCCTCAAAGATAAGGGAGAGTGGCAATGCTATCTGCCTAGACTACTAGCCGCAGTGTGACTGCTGGTGGCACACGCCTTACATGCTGCGATTGATGACAGTCGTATCTGCCTCGCGGACGTGCATTCTCGCCGGATGTCTTACAAATCAGCGCGGATGAAAGCTTGGGACGCGTGTAAGCTCATTTCTTTTTAATTCTTTGATTATAGCCTAGTTCTCCTAACAGCAGCAGTAAAATTGCTTTATTAGCTACACATAATTCCAATCTACCTTACCTTAAACTCTAATTGGCTGTAACTTCATTACCCAGTTTATACACTAATGTACCCCTTAATTCATGCAGTCGAGTCTTGTAGTTTAGACTTGCTTGGCTTTCATAGTGCGGTCGAGTCCTCAAAGCTTAGTCCAAGCTTGTTTAGCCTACTGCAGTCTCAGCAACACTGTTGTCCTCTATTACCGATACTTGTAGCCCACCTATTTAGAAATATGATGGTCTGACCTCTGTAGCGTCAGAGCTAGCACAAATTCTACTACACTTATTACTTACATGTGGAGATATGAGCCCAGAGTTGACTTTAATCACTACTCTACAAACGCTATATTATTTTCCAAATGCTAATTACTATTACATCCCACAGATTGGGAGTGCATACTGGGTG